CACAGATATTTCTGTTTCTTCTCTGTGCTCTGCTTCCTTTTGCTATTAACTGTGACGTTGAGACAAGGTCTCTGTAACCAGGAACACACCCATGGTAATCCTTCTTCTGCCTTAGTCTCCTGAGCACCCTTCATCGGTGACCTTCATGAGACCCTTCATCGGTGTTGATCAGAGTCATCTAGTACAGTGTCAGGCACAAGGTCGGTGTTCTAACTTGATTTGTTGATGTAATAAAATACTGTGGCAAAGGTAACTTAGGGAAGAAGGGTCTACAAGGCTGACAGTCCCAGGTTAGCCCACTACTGCCAGGAAGTCAAGGCCAGAACCAGACCCACACTTGTCGCTCTTGCTGTGCATTCACATCCTCTGTTTGTTGTGTGTTTTTCGAGACAAGGTTGCTCTGTAGCTTTGGAGCCTGTCCTGGAAGACAGGCTCTGTGGACCAGGCTGGCCTTGAACTCAGATCTGCCTGCCTCTGCCTCCGAGTGCTGGGATTAAAGGTGCACATCACTGCCCAGTGCATCCACATGGTAATGTGCCATTTCAGGCCTTTAGGCTTTCCTTTACTTCCTCATGCCTCTGCCTGCAACAAACAGGAGCTCATTCTAACCAGCAAGGTGCATCTCTATGACAACCCTTCCCAAGTCAGAGAAGAGAGTGCTGCTGCACCTTCACAGACTAGTATGTGCCCCGACGCTCATATTTTCAAAAGTCAACCACAACTATATACTTACATGCTTACTCTCTAAGCAAGAACTATGAGGATCTTACAGACACAGACTAGGCATCACTCTCTGGCACGCAACGTAAGCCACGGTCTATCAAGGTCCTTGATGTGTGTCAAGCGAATGAATTATTCCAGATTGGAAATAAAATGCAGATCAAATGATGCAAGGCTCTTGCTGATCTTCACGTTGCTCATTAGTTTAACACGGAGACCTCGTCCTGTATTTTCCAACGCTGACTCCTCTCCTCTACTGGGTCCTTCTCATTAGCGTTTAGCACGTTGCCACTCTCTCTCTTAAAGCCTGACGTATTCAATCTACCTCCTTCTCCTTCCCCATCCCCTCACCTCTCTCTCTACTACCAAACTTCTCAAAAGCTTTTCTCTTTTCAGGGTCATTTCCACACCCCACTTTGCTCCTCTAGCTCCTGTCCCCAACCTTGCCTCTGAGACTGTCCTAAAATTATTAATGACTATTTTATAAATCAGTGCCATTTTTGGACTAAGCTTATCTGGTCCAGTGATAGCCATGGAGGCTGACCACGCCTCCCTCCAAACCCTGACTCTTTCATTTAAATGACAGCATTCTCTTCTGTCCCTCTGGCCAGCTTTCTCGGTATGGTCCTAAAACCCTTTAAATATCCGTGTGCTTCAGGACTGGGGCTTGGCTTTGTGCAATGGCTTATCTGTTTCTGTCGCCACAATTCCTCGCTCTATGTTGATGATGAGTCATTTATATCAAAATGGTTACAATCTTTCTTTAGATTCAGTTTTATGTACCCAATATCTTGGTGTTGTTGGGTTGTTTTTTTTTTTTTTTTTTTTTTTAATTTGGTTCTTTGTTTTTCGAGACAGGGTTTCTCTGTGTATTCCTGGCTGTCCTGGAACTCGCTCTGTAGACCAGGTTGGCCTCAAATTCAGATCCGCCTGCCTATGTCTCCGGAATGCTGGAATTAAAGGCTGTATCTAATATCTTTTTAGACATTTCTTTTGAGATGCTCTATGATTCTAGAGAAAATAAGAAACAAGAAAAAATAAAAACAGTTTTGAAATGAAGAACTCATGAATGAGGTAAAAGTCTACAGAAGAGAGAATTAGGAGTTTGGAAGGCACACATCTGAAGAGATTCTCTAGACTGCTGAGAGAGCCGAGGGGAAAAAGGGTATGGCAAATTAAAACATGAAGAAGAGATTTAACATGGTTTTACCTGTAGAATGTCAGAAGGGGACAGAGAAAATAAAAGCACACTTGAAGAGCAAATGGTTATAAATTTTCAACAAATAGACATGAGCTTGTGTAGCCAGCACACATGGCAACCCTCAGTGAGTCTCATATCCTGGTAACCACACCTTGGGTAGTTGCCATTCAAAACATGCAGCCACTGGCAGAATCCAATGAAAACGGTACTTGTGAGATTAAGCTATAAAAGAAACTATGGAAACCAGGCACAGTGGCTCCTGCCTGTAATCCCATCACTTGAGAGCCGAGGCAAGATAATTACAAATTAGAGGCTAGCTTGAGTGCACAGCGAGTTTCAGGCCAACCTGGGCTACACAACAAAACTCTGTTTCAAAAAAAAAAAAAAACCAACCAAAGAAACAAACAGCAAATTGTGGCTTCTGTATTGACTGTTGTTTCAGTTCTTGACCTTTTTGGGATCATGGGCTCTGGGGAAGTCAGCTGCTATGAGGAACAACCCTGAGGACAGGCTGTGTGAGGAGGAACTAAGGGTCTTCTCGAAGCAATCCTCTAACTGTGCTATCTTAGAAGCCCACCAGAGGACTGCAGCTCTAACCAACAGCCAACGCCAAGCTCGTAAAGACAGGGACCAGCAGGAGGAGAGGGGCACACGTCACAGTATTTAGGCAAGGAAGATAAGAGAATCCAGAGCTTAAGGTCATTCTAAACTACACGGCCAGCCTGGTTTTAAGAGTCCCTATCAAACCAAACCAAACTAAACCAAAATAAACATACCCTGAGCCAGAACCATTCAGATAAACTGGCTCCTGGTTTGCTGACCCTCAGGAAACTATGTGAAAGAATACTTTCTTAAGCAACTAAATTTTAGGGCAATTTCATACAGTAATAGATCACTAATATATTGCCAAAACCAAACAGTTCTGAATTGCTTACAAAAAGCCTCCTCCATCTGGTCCAGACTGTCTCTCAGTCTCGTTCCTTGCCATACTCTCTCTGGCATGTTCCATTTTAAATACACCTCACAACTTGGAGTTTTTGGAACACAACCACGTTCTCTCTCCCACTTCCACGACGCACCCTCTGCCTGACACATTCTTCAACACCTTCTCTCCTACTTCCATCCACTTGGCTAACTTCTCCCGGTGACAGAGCACAGCACTACACCACAGGAAAGGTCTTATCAAACTGCCTGTCTTTCCATCAGATGCAAAGCTCAAAAAGAAGGAGCAACTCCTTTCTCCTTTATACACCACAGTTCCCAGCACACAGAAGATACTCTGTAGATTTTGTTTCTTACACCCCACAAGGAAGAGCCAGGCAGGAAGGCTAAAAGTTGAAGTGTAAACATTTTCAGGAAATGATCCAAGTGAGATTTTTCACCTGATATAACTGTAAAGGAACCCAGAACCCCCTGCATTCCATGCAATTTCAAGTTTAGGGAAGGCTGGAGTAAGGTCAGGATTCCAAAGTTAGATGGATTCCAGTTCCTGCTAAGTCAGACCTCATGGTCGATCTATTATGGCCCTTGAGCTGTAACCTCTGAGCATCCGGAAAGCACTCACAGTCATATTCAAAGGTCAAACAGAAACGGGTTTTAAAATGATCACCTGTCCTGCCCTTAGGACCATCCTAGCTTATTATGCTAAGATTTAAGATCTGATCACATATAGTACCTGTGATATGTGTCTAAACAGGATCGTGCACCTACATAAACAAGCAGGTCATAAAGTATTAAACACTAGTACCCTCTACTGGTGGAACGGCCTCACAGGCTCATGTGAATGGTCTTATTGCCCTCTAGTGACCACAACCTAAAAAGACAGCAAATCCTGCCGCAGATGGGAGCATCTCCTTGGCTATAATGATAGGGTTTTATGTTCTTTAAGCATCTAATTTCCTCAGACGCTGGTTTATATTACAGGGGTGCAACTCTAAGATTCCTGGGGGGTCCCTGGGGACTCTGCACAGCTCTTCCCAGCTGTTAGCGACAGTGTGACGCTGCTCTCTCCGGCTTCTCAGGAAGAGGAGGTCAAGGGGAGGCAGAGGAGGCGATGGCTGCACCAGTGAGGGCAGAGGCAGCAGCTGTGAAAGACGATCCTGGACTCTCGGGGGAACTGAGAGCAGCTTGAGGAACACATGTTGTTCCTCCCTTGCAGATTAGCCACAGTTGTGGGCTGCTCTAAAACGGCAGCTCAGCGTGGTCCCTCACTTACCTCTGAAGCATCTCCAAGGCTGTGATAAACGGCACAGCGGCAAATGTCGCTACCGTTTTGTTTTATAAACCAGGCTTTGCTGCTGAGGGCAGATTAAGCCGAGTTTCCTTCAAGATTTAACTGAAATGCTGCCTCCTCTATGAAATCTCTCCAAAGTCCCCAGATTACAGCAACTGCTTTACCTCTGATCGCACAGTCTCTCCCGGTCAGGGGAGCGACAGTGGCAGGTCGCATGTGCGTGCGCATTTATAGCCACAGCAGGGCACCACTCCTGTTTGTCTACGCCATCGCCTCTCTACCAAACCCTTAGCTCCTCGAGGTCACAACCAAGTCTCAAACATTTTGTGCAGTCAGCATCGGGCACACTCAAAATGTGACCTATATGTCACTGTCACTTACCAGTCTATATGATAAGTACAGACCTTGTCTAATAAGTGGACAGAGTAGTTCTGCTCACTCTGATCAAAAGGTGGGGGAGGTGTGGCAAGACGGCTCAATGGGTAAAGGTGCTTGCCACCCAACTTGCCGCACGTTAGAGGGAGAGAGCCAATGTCCACTAAGCTGTCCCCTGACCTCCATATGTGCACTGTAGCAAACACACACCCGACCCCCCTCCCAACACACAGTAAATTGAAAAAAAAAAAAAATCAAAGATTGAGGACTATGTTTTGTGTATTTTCACGTCATTTTTTTTCTTGAATTTTTACAAAATATTACAAAAGTATTAGCCTGAGGCTAGTAAAATGCTCTAAACAACAGTCCCCTCCAGTGAGTGTGCAAAATCCAGGTGGGTCAGACAAGGCATAGTGTACAGGAAGAGGGGGGAGACACTCTGAAGTACTTCCCACAGAGCTCAGACCATACCTATCCTCGTCGACTTCAACACCTCCCTGGAGGGGATTTTCTTCTTTAATTCTTGTAAGGCTACAACTAGGTTCTCCTTGGTTTGACCAGGAAGCTCCAACGTAGCTTTCCATCTTTTTATGTCTTCTACAACCACAACTCTCTGTGAAAAAGAAAAGTCATTTGGAAAATGGAACATTTTCATTAGAAAGGCATCTGCCTTCACCTGAGCTAATGGCTCTCCTATTGACATATGAATTATTGATTATGACCTGAACCAAAGCACAGTGTGTCTGATGGCCCCAAATGATGGGTAATTGCTTAAAAGCAGGTCCTGCTTACTGCAGATCAGGAGGAGAGTTGCATCTATTAAGAAAAGTGCAACTTTTAATCTCACCATGCCAGACACCACTGGGCACTTAGCAGCGAGAGGTACTAAGGAAGAAAGGGAAGGAAGACGATGCTAAGGTGAATCAACCTCCGAGCTCGCTTAAGTGTCTTAATTTGTATGCACATAGCAGAGACGTCATAAAACCATGTTTACTTTAGCAATAAAAATCACACAAATAGTTCCCCACTTCCCAGGGTGAAAACCCAAATTTTCTTTCTGGAAGAATTTAAAAACAAAACCAAAAAAACCTTCAAACACACAGGAAGGTACAGGGAGAGACCCACTACTTTTTAAAAGGCTGTCATTTTTTCATTCCCCAGAAAGTAGAGCATTATAAAATTTAAGTCCGTTTACACCCTTCACCAAACTCATTTCCCGTCTTCCTTCGAAAAGAAGCTAGCATCTTATGGCTGAGTCTCAGGCTTCCATTAAGCACAAAATACTAGAGATTAGGAATAAGGGGGAAGGAAATGGGGAAGCTTTCGTACTGTCATGCGATTTTTCTGTAGTTTTGGAATCATTTAAACTAAGAGCTTTTTAGTAAGCAAAAGTGGCAGACAAAAAGTAGCTTTAATAATTGAAAATTATGCCGGGCAGTGGTGGCGCACACCTTTAATCCCAGCACTCGGGAGGCAGAGGTAGGTGGATCTCTGTGAGTTCGAGGCCAGCCTGGTCTACAAGAGCTAGTTCCAGGACAGGCTCCAAAGCTACAAAGAAAAACCTGTCTCGAAAAACAAACCAAAAAAATTGAAAATTAAATATCTTATCTTGGATCACTATTACCCTGGGCAGGCGGGCAATTAGGGGTCAAGAACGGCCTTAGGAAGTTTCAGGGCTCTGGTAATGTTAAAGATAAACATGTTCACATCATGGAAGTTCCTCATAATACTTAGCATGTATGCACTTTTCTACATGAAATTTCAAAATAGTTATTATCTATCTACCATCTCTATCTATCTATCTATCTATCTATCTATCTATCTATCTATCTATCTATCTATCTATCTATCCTCCTTCTCTTGGAGGGAGAACATGGAGTCTGTTTCCAGCCTAGAAGCCAAGGGTGAAAGGAAGGTACATCCATCTCCCTATTTCCCAGCTTCCTCTTTGATTTTTGGTCTTGCCTTCTAAGTTCAAAGTTAGGAGAGCAAGGAAAAGACTTGACACTGATCAGGCTTTGGTGTCATCTGAACCGGCAGGCATTTAAAGATGATTTCCCTGACAGGATGACTTCTGCAGTTCTTTGGAGATTCCCTAACTGAAACTGAAGCACTTACTATATTGGTAATGATTCTTACAGCTCTCTCTCTCTCTCTTCCTCTCTCTTTCTCTCTCACACACAGACACAGACACACACACACACACAGAGAGAGAGAGAGAGAGACAGACAGACAGACAGACAGACAGACGGGGGGGGGGGCGGAGACTGAGAGGAGGAGCTCTAAAGGGAGGGGAACCAGAGAGAACGCTGGGATATATGTAACATGAAAGCAGAGGGGACTGTTTGTGGGGGAAGGCAGTGGGAAGAGTGTAAGAACATATAATAAAACATGTATGAAAATGCCATAACAAGGGGCTGGAGAGATGGCTCAGTGGTTAAGAGCATTGCCTGCTCTTCCAAAGGCCCTGAGTTCAATTCCCGGCAACCACATAGTGGCTCACAACCATCTGGAATGAGGTCTGGTGCTCTCTTCTGGCCTGCAAACATACACACAGACAGAATATTGCATACATAATAAATAAATAAATATTTAAAAAAACACTCATACACACATGAAAAAAAATTAAAAAAAAAAAGAAAATGCCATAACAAGAGCTGGTAAGACGGCTCAGGATACAGGCACGCACTGTCAAACCTGAGTTCGGTCCCCAGAACCAGAACTGCAAGTTGTCCTTTGACTGCCACACACCCACAAGAAACAAATGTAAAAAGAAACCCATTATTCTGTATGCTTTCTCTGTAGGTATCTGTGAACCCAGCCACTCTATTTAAACCCAGGCTACCCAGCATTCTCTCCTATGACCGCCCACATCTTTGCCCTAAAAAACTCCCAAAGGTAACAGGCTGGCAAGGGATCCACTTCTCCCTCTGCCATCAGCCAGCAACTGTCTTTGGGCTTTCCCAAGCATAGGTCTGGTCTGGGCATTGACCAACTACAGAAACAGAGTTGATTCTCCAACAGAAACTGCCACAAGGGTGCCCTCACTTTCTACAGAGGATCGCATTCTGCTCTCCCCCTCTGACCTGGACCTTCTCTAATGGTCTATGGTAGATGCAGGGTCGGGACTCTGAAATGGTCTTCATGCACTGCCTGCATAAGTTCCAGAGAGATGCATTTTATATCTACTCTCTCTTCTCAGCCCCCAGGAGACTCAATCAAACCTGAGAGGGAAAGGCTTTCCTGTGCGCGGTGTAGTGTACACTAGTATTAGTGGTCAACAGAACCTAAGCCACAGGAGGTATTTCCTATTGAAAGGTATATGTCAAGCTTTTCTATCCAGTGCATTTTCCTGAGGTGTTCGTGTTAACACGCATAGTTAGAGCTGAGCCACGCTAGCAGTAGAGAACAGTAACCCTATTATGCTATACACATAGAGGGGTTTCCTTCCCACGTCTTCACTGTTACACATACTGCTTCCATGAACTCTGACTTTTTGTGTACTATCTCCCACCTGTTCACTTCTCTGTAGCTTCATGCTCTGAGTAGTGGGCACTGCTGGTTCCCTCTCCCATCCCTCTGCCTGCCTGGTGTAATGTAAGGATCTACCTTTCCAATACCCTCTTTGTCCATACGTATTCGTTACTCACTAGACATATTTTTTCTTTACTTTTTGTCTCTCCTTTTTATTTTTTTAAAGATTTATTTATTTTTTTTAAAGATTTATTTATTTATTTATTAAGTATACAGTGGTCTGCCTGCATATGTCCCTGCAGGCCAGAAGAGGGCAGAATATTTCATTACAAATGGTTGTGAGCCACCATGTGGTTGCTGGGAATTGAACTCAGGACCTTTGGAAGTGAAGCCAGTTCTCTTAACCTCTGAGCCATCTCTCCAGCCCCCTAAAGATTTATTTATTATGTATGTATAGTGTTCTGCCTGCATGTGTGCCTGCTGGCCAGAAGAGGGCACCAGACCTCATTAAGCATGGTTGTGAGCCACCTTGTGGTTGCCGGAAATTGAACTCAAGACCTCTGGAAGAGCAGAAAGTGCTCTCGACCTCTGAGCCATCTCTCCCGTCCTTGTCTCCTTTCTTGTCTTCTGCTAAGCAGACTGAATTTTTTGTTTTGTTTTGAGACAGGTTCTGCATACCCTAGGCTGGCCTCAAGGTCCCCATCCTCCTATATTTAAGAGTCATCACCCTTGGCTCTGAGTTTTAACCTTGTTTTTTTTTTTTCTCATAGTTTAAGAATAATTGTTTCTTTCATTTAAATGCTGCCATTTTAGGACATATGTTCAAAGAAATATTTGCGCCAATCTTCTTACAAGTCTCTTTCAAAAACTCCTATTATGTTTTTTTTTATTCTTTTATTTCTGAGTGATATACTCTAAATGATTTCCTTATTATCAAGCTTCCAATTCACGATTTTTCTCTTAGGCTACATCATGTCTACTTTAACGTGTTCAATGTTTCTACTTCAACAAACATGTCGTTTTCACTGGACGAGCTGATTCTTTTTTCATTCCTATCTCTACTCCTTTCCTTTTTAAAATCTTTGTGAACATTGAAAACATATCTAAGATTTCAGATAGTTCTCTTATCCCCATTTCTTGGGGTAGAGAATTTATCATATCTACCTGTTCACTTACCCGCCTCATAGTTTACTTTCTCATGGGGTTTGTCTGGACTATGAGTTCTCTAGAGGATTGCTTTCCTTGGGAGTCTATGTGTTCTAGGATGTGGAGGGCTGAACAGGAAACCCACATGTGCCTCTTCAAGGTTTTGGAGTTTCCTGGTTTTGCCCTAGACTTCATGCTAACTTTACAGTTTGTATGCACAGTTAACAGGCATGTGGTTCTAATGTATTAATGTCAATTCTTTTTCATCTAAGACCCCCAACAAGATGGCAGTCTTCACACTGTGTTCTTCAACTGGTAGGCGGAATTTTTCTAGCTCACTTTCCACAAACATGGTAGACCTATTCTAGTTTTAAATTCCACTGGGGGCATGGGTACCAGCTCCAGCTCCCAACAGATGAGGCTCGGAGGCCTGTCCCATGCTGACCTTAAGTTCTAGCCTGTAAGCATTACAGCTGCTTTCAATACCTCCAAACAATTCAGCTTCATCTTCTACGTAAGCTCCAGGATTCCATTTCCTGTCTCTTCTCGGTACCTTAGGGTTTTCTTTCTTGTAGACCAGGCTGGCCTTGAACTCACAGAGATCTGCCCACCTCTGACTCCTCAGTGCTGGGATTAAAGGTGTGCACCACCGTGCCTGGCCTATTAAAGATGTTTAATCTAGCCATCTAGACAGGAAACAGTTTACAAATCCCAAATCAGATCATCTTGATTTATGGAACAAATAAATCCAACCTATTTTATTGCTGCTCTTTGGAGACAGGGTTTCTCTGTGTAGTCCTGGCTGTGCTGGAACTTGCTCTGTAGACCACACTGGCCTTGAACTCAGAGATCCAACTGCCTCTGCCTCCTTGAGAGCTGGGACCAAAGATGTGTCCAACACTGCCTGGCTTAAGTCCAAACTCTTAAGCTTGATATAAAATCTCTTCCATGACCAGAGATCCTTTACTGTCAAGATATGCTCTAGATACTATC